CCAGGCTTAACTGACTGTGTCTGCAAGACTACACACCTAGCCCATCCCGCCTGTGAGGTTTTTTGTTTTTTTTTTTTTGGTTTTTCAAGACAGGGTTTCTCTGTGGCTTTGGAGCCTGTCCTTGAACTAGCTCTTGTAGACCAGGCTGGTCTCGAACTCACAGAGATCTGCCTGCCTCTGCCTCCCCGAGTGCTGGGATTAAAGATGTGCACCACCACCGCCCGGCTCAGGCTCCTCTCTGAAAGTCATTCAGGGACCCGGACCCCTCTCCCACAAGGTTGCTTCCAGGACTGGACAGACTTCTGCCCACACCAAACCCAATCTCTCTCTAGTAGAGGAAAGACAGGCAAGCAACGGCAAGTGCTTGAACTTTAATAAGGAGGGGGAGAGCAGAGAGGGAGTCCCTGGAAGCTTGTGTGTGGCGTTCACCAGCATTCAGGGTATTTTTGGCCAGTGTTTCTCATAGGACCAGTTGGTGTCATCTACACCGGCAAGGCTGATCCGCACGTAGGGCTGGAGGCAGCATGTCTGGTAAGTTCGGCAGTAGAAGTAGGGCTGTTCGTCCTTCTTGCAGGTAGACCTACAGAAGCCTCTGTTACCCATGCATTGAAGGACAGGATTTTTGCCTGGCCAACAAACAAAAAAAAAAAATGATGATAATTAATTTCTGCTCACCTGTGACAAACGGGGCATCAGGAGCACAGAAAAGACCTAAAAGGTGACAGCGAGCGTCACAGTCAAAAGAGACAGCATCAGTGTCCTTTCCTCCGCTTGTCCTGCTACACTCAGGTCGAGGCTCTGGACATTAGAGTGAGGAAGACAGTGCAGAAAGAGATAGGGGCAAGGGGGACAGAACAGAACAGAGGACCCAGGAGAAAACCCACACAGCTAGGCACACCCAGCTTTGGCAAAGAGGCCCCAAACATTCACTGGGAGGAGGAGGCTTGTTCAGTAACTGGTGCTGGTGGCCCTGAGTGTGGAGCTGCACCGATGGAGATTACATCTGAATCCCTCAGTCTGCACCCAAGTCCTTTCCAAGCAGAACAGGGACCTCGATTTAAAGCCAGAGACCCTTAGAAGTGTTAGGAGAAAACGCCTGAGGATATAGACCCAGGAATTCCCTCAGTAGGACCCAAATAGCTCAGGAAATAACCCCAAGAATTGACAAATGGGGTTAAATTAAAAGTCTCTTGTACAACAAAATAAACTGTCAGCAGAGCAGACAACAGAACGGGAGGACCATCTTCGTCAGCTAAACCGTGAATGGAGGAATACTATCTAGAATATATACAGTGGGAAAAACCGCTTCTTGGGAGATGGCTCAGTGGTCAAGAGCACTGGTTGCTCTTCTAGGGGACCCAGGCTTGATTTCCAGCACCCACATGAGGGTTCACAACTGTCTGTAACTCCAGTTCCAGGGGGTCCGACACCCTCTTCTGGCCTCCATGGGCACTGGGCATGTATGTGCTGCACAGATATACATGTGGGCAAAACACCCACAAACCTAAAATAAATCTTAAAATAAAAAAAACCTTCAGGCACCAAAAAGCAAAACTGTCAATCAATAAATAGGCCAATGAACTTTTGAAAACTGACAGTTATCAAAAGAAGAAACATAAATGGCTGAGTCTTTTTGAAAGCATTGGATATCCACAGCCATCAAGGAAATGTGGGAAAAGGGACCCTCGCCCGCTGCTGGTAAGAATGAAATGGGTACAGCCACTGTGGAAACCAGCTGGAGGTTTCTCGAACAGCTAAAAATAGAGCTGTCACGTGACCCAGATATATACCTGGCATATACCCAAAGGGTCATGCAGCACCTTCCAGGGCTACCAGGCCACTCAGTGCCCCTGAAGAACACACAGAAGAGAGAATGCCCCTCCCAGCTAGGCTGGCACCAAAGGACACAGACTTTAGAACTGGAACCTCCAAGCATGCTGTGGCAGTGAGAAGCCACCCCCTGCTCCTGCCTCCATGTCAGGGCATAGCCCAGATCTTATCCTACACAAAATAACCAGGTCTCGATTAAAACTCACTCATCAGAACCAGGATGATCTCATGTCAAATTAGGAAAAAAAAAAAAAAGATAACCAGCCAAACCTGTGATCCCTCCATGTTCAGAGCACCAATGGTTTGTTCCTGTCCATCCTGAACTGCACCCTGCAGAAGCACGTAGCAGTCTCTTTAGTGTGTATATGTCTGTGTGTGTATGAGTGTTTATGTACGTGTAGGTGCATATATGGAAGTCAGACGTCCGCCTCGGGTGTTGTCCTCAGACGCTGTCTACCTTGTGTTTTGGGACAGGGTCTCTCAGCGGAACCTGACCTGGGTGGTTTTGGCTGGAATCCTCCTGTTTCTGGCCTCCTGACGCTGAGACAACAGACTCAGTCCGGCGTGTTCAGCTTTGTGTGCTCCGGGGATCCAAACTCGAGCTTGCACAGCAAGCACTTTGTACACTGAGCCACCTCTCTAACCCGCAAACTGGGGTTATTACAACGCTCTGGTTAAAATATGAGCTCAGAAACTGGAGAGACAGCCCAGTGGTTAGAGCACTTGCTGCTCCTGCAAGGGACCCAGGTTCAAACCCACAATGCTGCCTTACAATCATCTGTTACTTCCAGGGGATCCAATGCCCTCTTCTGATTTCTGAGGATACCTGTCATGTTTGTGGTGCACAGACACGCAAAATAAAATTTAAAAATCTAAAAATAATTTAGCAAAAAAATGTGGACACTGATAGAGGAAGACACCTGACATGTCAACCTCTGGGTGAGTTCACACACATGCACACATGTGCATTCACCATGTGCTCACACACAAATGCACACTCACACACATACACACATGTGCATTCACCACATGCACACACACACAAATGCACACTCACACTTGCACACATCTGAATTCACCACATGCACACACAAATACACTCATGCATCCACATATGTGCACTCACCATGTGTACACACACAAATGTGCACTTACACAATGCACACATCTGAATTCGCCATGTGCACCACACAAAAACACACACATGTACACATGTGCATTCACCATGTGCACACACACAAATTTACATTTCACACAAATGCAGACTCACACACATGCATACATGTGCATTCATCACGCATACACACACAAATGTGCACTCACACACATGTGCACCACACAGAAACACACACACGTACATTCACCACGTGCACATGCACAAATGCACACTTACACAAGCACACTTCTGCATTCACTATGTGCACACAAACACACAAAAACACAAATTCACACATATGCACTCACCATATATACACACACAAATGGACACTCACACATGCACATATATGCATTTGCCATATGCATACACACACACACACACACACACACAAAGATCAGATCAAAATCTTGGAAAAGAATACAAATAAAAGCCCTTATACCATATGTCTGGATACTTAAAAGTGATGAATCAAGTCAGCAAGAGATATATGTAAGTAAATCTATTCTATGTTCTTTAGTGAAACAACCTCTGGGATGACCCATTGAGATTCATAATTCTTGGGCTCCTCAGAGTTTTTGTAGAAACATGGCAGCCTTGGGGCAGCTGCCCACCCTCAACCCAGCGTTCCTCCCCCACATCCTCAGATCTGCATCCCCAAGAAGTAGCTCATGAGAACTTGTGGCCCAAGCTTGGCCATGGCCCCTGAAACAGAATGTAGCTGGCATTTCTCCCCGTGCCTAGCGCCACTTCCCAGAAGGTCCTGTGGATGCACCTAGGGAACAGACCTCACAGCTTCAGGAAGTAGCCTCAGAGTCTTTGGACAGACTGCACCAGGCTCCACTGATCAAAGTGCAAGCCTGAAAGCAGGGTGGGCATCACTGGCCCCATATCTCATCCCCCAGTGGGGAGGAGCTTACAGGAAGCCTAAAGGAAAGGCAGGATGGGGGAGGGGCTATGTTCCTAGAACATTATCGTCCCGTATCAAAGAACTCCTATTGGTCTCAATGGCGGGTGTCATGCTTCAAACCCGCCCCCCATCCTTGACCTCATCAACAGCATAGCTCAGGGGTGACAATTGTGTAAATGAGGCCCCAAGACCAGGATTTGAAGACATCCAGTCCCACAGATTCCCCACCAGGATCTTTAAATTCCCCATTTCTAGTCTCACCCGTGTTAATCCATCCAAATGGTGTAGACTTCTGTCCCTTGCCACCCCCTGCCAGAGCCAAGGAAGACCAACAGTGCCTACTCTGCAAGGGCCTGCAGAAACTGACAAGACTGGCCACAGATGTGTTTACCGAGCCCTTGGACCCTGCCTATTTAATTCTATTTTTCTTTTTCTTTTGTTTTGTTTTGAGACAGGGTTTCTCTGTAGCTTTGGAGCCTGTCCTGGAACTCTCTTTGTAGACCAGGCTGGCCTCGAACTCACAGAGATCCCCCTGCCTCTGCCTCCCGAGTGCTGGGATTAAAGGCTCATGCCGCCACCACCTTGTTTATTATAATCCTAAACTAAATGATGTTGTTGTTCGACTTTCCCAAAAACAAGATGCTGGAGCTCTGACAGGGTTGGAAACAGGATCTGTTAGTGGTAAGGGGCAGAGCCAAGATGAATGAGTGAGAGAATGCTAAGAATGGACACGCTCACCCTGAGTGGACAAGCTGCAGGTGCTGTCTGTATTTGGAATGTGAGTTCTTGAGCATTACAGGGTCTTTCGGGGGAAATCCAAAGATTTAGGTTCCACTCAGCCACGTTTGACCTATTCCCTCCCAAGATGAACCAGTACTCTAGGCATCTAAGGCCCCTTTAAGTCTGTGGTTCCACCCACCCCGTGCTCCCTCAGTTTATATGTGTCTCTGTAGCCGCTCCTGGGGCTGGTAGGTGACACCATCTTCAACACTGTGCTTCTCACCCCATTACCAAGGTCTAGTCCTGATGGTTTCTCTCCACTGCCTCTGAACTCTGTCCTTCCATCTCCCCACCCCAATCCATTATGACTGACAGACACCAAAGTCAATTCTGTGAGTTTTAATGTGGTGTAGAGACTAAAGGATGAGAAGCAACATCCTTTCTACCAATAGTAGGAGCGTCTCTTCTTTCTATGGAGTTTTGAGGACGTCGTAGGAGTGGTCCAGCCAAGGACTCCATCAATGACCATGGTAGGGAGGGTTAGGTAACGCAAAGGGACGCAGCAGCGCTTGCGATTTTGGCAGCGTATGACACTGTCTTCCCCGTCCTTGCACATCACCCGGCAGTGTCCGTCCTTCCAGCATTCATCTTTGGGGCACAGGAACAATTGTTAGGCATGTGTTAGTATTGCTCGAATGACAGACAAGAAGCAGCTGATGACAGGGGAGCAGGGGAGAAATAGAGACGCACAGGTCCAGGAAAGGCGAGCGGGCCTTGAGAGGAAGAGAAAGCTTTCTGGAAAATTCTTTTTTATTTTTGAAACAGGCTCTCAGCTCCTGGCCTGAAACTTGCTCTTGTAGACCAGGCTGGCCTCAAACACAGAGATTCACCTGCCTTTGCCTCTAATGCTTGATGGGGGGAGAGTCTTTTGTTTTGTGTTAATTTCATTGGTTAAATAAAGAGACTGCCTTGGCCCTTTAATAGGACAGAAAATTAGGTAGGCAGAGTAGACCGAACAGAATGCTGGGAGAAAGAAGCCGAGTCAGGCAGTCGCCATGATTCTCCCACTCCAGACAGATGCAGGTTAAGATCTTTCCTGGTAAGCCAGCTCGTGGTGCTACACAGAATATCAAAAATGGGTTAGATCAATATGTAAGAGCTAGCCAATAAGAGGTTAAAACTAATGGGCCAAGCAGCGTTTAAAAGAATACAATTTGTGTGTTATTATTTCAGGTATAAAGCTAGCTGTGCGGGCGGCCGGGTGCCAAGAACGTAGCCCGCCGCTAATATTACAACAAATGCTTGGATTAAAGGGGTGCTCCACCACATCCAGCCAAGGGAAAGCTTTCTTCAAAGTTTCTCCCCATCGATCATCCTGCCCCGCCCCCCCCCAACTTCCTAGTCCTTCCTCCAGAATCAGTGTGTGTGAATGAGGGTTCCACCTAGAGGAACCTGGGAATGATGGGAAAGGGACAATGTCCATCTATGTGCTAGTGGACAGAGGAGACTCAGTTACATCACAACAGAGTCAGCTCCTTAACAGCTGGTGACAGAAGTCAGCAAACCTCAGATCTGACCTCAGCCCAGGGTCCAGTCCCCTTGAGTCATACTCATCTACTTAAAACTCAAGCCCCAGCCAGCTTCCTGCCTTGCCCAGCTCAGTGCTCCCTGAGGCCTCACTCCAAGCCAAACACAAATCTAATCAAGTCACCAGCCAGCTCCCTGCCACCAAGCTACACCCAAGCAGCCAGCACACCAGACAACTACCCCACCCTCAGCCCAAGTCCAGTCCAAGGCCAGCAGCAGCTCCACTGAAGCCAAGCCTCCCCTCTCCATCTTATTCCAGGGCACCTAGAAATCCAGATCCTCACCTCCAGCCCATGCTGACACTCTCTGTCACCCTAGTCCCTGAGTGTTCCCACAGGAGGAATTACCCCTAACCAAGTCTCCAACCTGAACCCAATCCTTCACCCCTTATCCATCTCCTAAGTTCCCACCAGAATTCTACTCTTGCCCTCAAGGTACCAGACCCCGGCAAACATCTCTTATGCAGCTACTTAGTAAAGCAGAATTAGAGAGAGAGAGAGAGAGAGAGAGAGAGAGAGAGAGAGAGAGAGAGCGCAACATGCACAAGCACTTGGGTTACCCTTTGAAGCTATGTGAAACAGGAAAAGACTTAAACGTTGACCCTGTGAGAGTGAAGAGAGAGAAACCCAGAGACAGGACCCCAGACCCTTAAAGAACCCACGTTACCTGACATCACCAGTTCCGTTGCCACAAATATGGCAAGAAGCAGGAGCAACAGCTTCATGGTGGCAGTACCCGGGTGAAGGAGGCAGCTGAGCTGCAGGACAGGAACAGCGTTCCCTGGGGCAAGGATGAACCTCCTTTTATCAAGGGCCGTGGGCAGTGTTGAGAACAGGAGGGATTTGTCCAAGGTCAGCCAGACCAAAGACAGTGTGTAGCAGACGCCTCAGCATAAGAAGAGAGTGTGGGAAAGTGACTGGCACCTATGCCAGACATGACTTCTCTTCTAGGAAGGACGAGAGTGAAGTAAGTTGTTTGGACTTTTGAGACCCACAATTTGTTCATTAATTAACAGATGAACGTGTGTCAAGAAACATTTAAGTTTTAAGAGTTCTTCAGTAGCTGGCCGGGGGTGGCGCACACCTTTAATCCCAGCATTCTGGAGGCAGAGGCAGGTGGAGCTCCGTAAGTTCGAGGCCAGTCTGGTCAACAAAGTTAGTTCTAGGACAGCCAGAGCTACACAGAGAAACCCTGTCTCAAAATACAAAAAAGAAAAAAAAAAGAGTTCTTTATTCTTAGCTTTCTTCTCTTCTCTTCCCTCCACCACAGATTTTTGTCTCATGAAATCTTAAACCTTCCCATATGTTCTATATCAAGGCCTCAGCCTGCATCTCCCTCTGCAGGACTCCAAGCTTCCCCTAATGGCTGCTGTCACTTCCTGTCATTGTGGGTGTCTCTCACAGGTGCTAGGCCTTCCAGACATGGCTGCTCTGAAATGGAATCCATTCTCTTGTCTTGTGGGATTTTCATATTTATTGTACATGTTTCATCTTCGATTCTCTCATGGAACTGCCAGGAACTTGGCTTGAACTGTGCCCTTCAAAAGGTCATGGGCTAGAAATTTCTCAGCATGGGGAGATGGTAGAGCCTGTAACAGGTGGGGCCTCAGTGGGTAAAGTATTTGTTGCAAAAACGTGAAGACTTGAGTTCAGATCTCCAACACTCATATAAAAGCCAGACTCAGTAGCACACATCTGTAATCCTAGAGCTGGGGAAGCCATGGTGCAGTGACCCTAGGGCTGGCTGGCCAGCCAGTCTAGGCAAATCAATGACTCCAGGTTCAGTAAGAGACTAAAAAAAAAAATAAGGTGGAGAACAATTGAGAAAGACCCCTGTCATTGACCTCTTACATACACACACACACACACACACACACACACACACACACACCAAGACAAGGCTTAGTGCAAGGTAATTAGGTCACAGGATTTCACAGCTAGAAGATATGGAGGACTCTGATGTGGGAAGTCCTTCTGTATATATGTTGCTTTTAGGTTAATAAATAAAGAAACTTCTTGGACCTACAGCAGGGCAGAATAGAGTTAGTGGGGAAAACTAAACTGAACGCTGGGAGAAAGTAGGCAGAGTCTGAGATGCTGCAGGAGGAGGCTGACTCTGGAGAACCTTACCAGTAAACCATGAGCCTTATGGTACAATATAAAATAACAGAATGGGTTAATTTAAGATGTAAGAGCTATCTAGAAATATACTTAAGCTATTGGCCAAACAGTATTGTAATTAATGCAGTTTCTGTGTGATTATTTGGGGTCTGGGCAGTGGGGAATGAACAAGCAGCCTCTGTCAACAGATTGGCACCCAACACGGGGCTGAGTACATCCACATAAAATCTGAGAGATCTTGGAAAGGAATTCTAGACACAAAAGAACAGAGTTAAGCAGTTTCTTGGTAGCCATTTTTTGGATGGTCTCTGTTTGTTGGCAGGAGCACCATGGCTCCTTTAAGAGAAGGCTTACTGACTCAACATAAGAAATAATGACTCTGGCTCTTTCAGGAGGCAGAGCACCTAAATGGGGTTTGTGAGCAGAATGCTGCAAGTTACTTGGTGGCAGCATGAGCCAATTGCTTACCAGAGCTGGGGTGGTGAGTGCAGCTGCCTCCCGGTGATCCCAGAGCTGACAGCGAATTACCTCTGCCATGTTAAAAGGCCGAGAGGCAGAGCCAGTATCCAGGGCTGAGACGACCACCCTGCTTACCATTTTAAAATGCATTTTGTCAAAAAAGGATTTTACATACACAATAAAGATAAATTCCAATGGAAAAGATCTCTAAATGGGTCACAGTGTTAAATAAATGTCCACAGGCTTGGGAGAGAGAGGGAAAAGAGTAAAGAGACAGTAAATGTAATATAAAAGAGTACAGACAGTCATAGATCAAAGGAATAAAGATATTAAAATAAATATTAAGCTTGTAGAAAAAGTAATAGAGTAAGAAAATTAAGCCACATAAAGATGGAATATACACAGAGAGTCTGGATTATGTATATTATTATGTCTTCTTTGAATTTCTTAACTGTGAATGAGCTAAGTACAGAGAGACATTTCATTAGACAGCTGGCTAAGTTAAGCCAACATATATATTTTAAAGGTATCTTGACTTCAAAATTTGGGTCTAAGGATATCTTGCTTTGGAAAAAAAGGTTCTGCTTTTGTTTCCACAGAAGATGAGAATCTGTGGGTTCCTTCCAGACTAATGTGATTTGATGGACCAAGAACCCCTGAAAGGTCACCATGAACACTCAAAAACACTTTGCCCAACAAAAGTCAGGAAGCAGTTTGGAAAGAACTATTCCCAAATTCTCAAATATTGTTTATAAATGTTTGTTTACATTTAAAGGGGGAAATGCTATAGAGATGAATGCTTTGCATTGGTATGGATCTTGGTTTATTGATACAAACTTAAGGTCAATTTTGTTATATGTATATTTCTGCTCTTGATTAAGGTATTGTGTTTATGCAGCTCATTTAAAAATGTAATATATAATTTAAAAACACAGGTTTAATAGATAGTCATGTATAATAGTTAATCTTATAGTCATGTTGGTTAGGTTTTCTAGATACATAGAAATATATTTCAATTAGATAGGTATTCTTCAAACTTTTCAAAGACTAACAGAGGGCTGGAGAGATGGCTCAGTGGTTAAGAGCATGGCCTGCTATGCCAGAGGTCCTGAGTTCAATTCCCAGCAACCACATGGTGGCTTACAACCATCTGTAATGAGGTCTGGTGCCCTCTTCTGGCCTGTAGGCACATACACAGAATATTCTATACATAATAAATAAATAAATATTAAAAAAAGACTAACAGAATATGGTATTTAAATTTTTAAAAAAAAAACTTAGAACTTTACATGACAATGAGACACATCTGTTCTTGGCAACACCAATCTACTTCAAGAAGATGATGGGCATCAAAGAGGCTCCTTATGAAGTTGGTCAGCTATTTGGGAAAGAAACTGCTTTGCCTGAGCTTCTTAATGTTTTTCTGTATAAACTGGACATGCAGGACCCACAGAGAAATGACTGCTGGACTTGCCTAAAGGTGAGACAATACTCCGTGGTTCCTGCTTCATGAAAGAGTCTGCTAGGCATTCTGCAGGACACAGAAGAAAGTGACTGACAAACTGTCAATATAGGTGAAACTCTCTTTGAAATTTCCTGCTTCAGGGAAAAGTCTGCCAGATACTATAGGCTTGTAGGCTGAAGATGGGTGCCCCAATGGTACAGAAGAACTTTGGGTAACTTTCCAGGCAGTAAGATGTCTCTGTCAATTCTAGAGTTTTGAAAGTTGCTTACAATGCACTGCCTGCTAACTTAAGTAATATTATATCTTTCTGTGGTCTTTGGTAGAGTTAAAGAATTTATAGTTATAGTTTTCTTTAGTTATGATAAAAGACAAAATAGATATAAATATTATAATCTTAATTCTTGCTTTATACCTGTTTTCATATGTAATTTTACTATGTTAAAGTTAAAACCTTTTTTATTTAGACAGAAAAGGGGAAATGATGTGGGAAGTTTTACTGTATATGTGTTGCTTTTATTGGTTAATGAATAAAGAAGTTGCTTGGGCCTACAGCAGACCAGAATAGACCTAGGTTGGGGGAAAACTAAACTGAATGCTGGGAGAAAGTAGGCAGAGTCTGAGACGCCATGTAGCTGCCAGAGGAGACAAACACCAATGAACCTTACCAGTAAACCACAAATCTCATGGTAAAATATAAAATAATAGAAATTGGTTGATTTAAGATGTAAGAGCAAGCTATTGGCCAAACAGTATTTCAATTAATATAGTTTCTGTGTGATTATTTTGGATCTGGGCAGTGGGGATGAACAAACAGCCCCCATCAACAGGACTATGCTTAGATCCCAAAAGAGTGGGTTATTATAACAAGAATGAACTTGACCACTGGTCATCTCTGGATTCCTGCTTTGCCATGTGATCTTCAGCACTGGGATGTCACCCACCACGAGGCCCTTAGTGAGATGGGACAGGGGTGGCTGCCTAATCAAAGAGTTTCTGTCTCCCAAATGGTAGTTTTAATGAATTTGCTTTCCAGAGTTTGATATTTTGTAAGAGAAGCAGAGAACAGACTTTTACAGTTTCTAACCCTAGCATGGGATTTTACCTGCCATATTCAGATATTAATCCAGCTATTTTAATAGGCATTGCTCCCAAACAATGATTCCAAAACATATACATTGATTTTGTTTTTTCCATTTTTGTGTGCAGTTAAGTGCAGAAGTGTCACAGACAGCAGGGACCTTGAATCCTTCTACATATTCTCAGACAGTTTCACCTGCAGGAGCAGCTCCAGTTCCTACCATCGAGGAGTGTGGTGAAGTGTGATGCTATTTCAGAGTGGCACACGCTGTTTTCAGCCGATTGGCCAGAGCCCATTCCCACCAAAGCCAGCTCTGGGATTCGCTGGGAATATTTTCCTTTAGTCTGGGCATTGAAAGCTTGCTAAAAGTCAGGGTCTGACTTATTAAAAGGACCAACACTGAGGAGAACTAGAGATATTTAGAACCTGGCTTTATATACAGAATAGTATTTAATAAACATTGGCAAGCCTAATAAATATAACTATTACTCCACTGAGTAAATGATCATAGAAAATTAATAGCTTGCATTGGGCGGTGCCATGAATGTGATCGCAGAGCCCTTCCAAGGGCCAAGCAGCTCACTAGATTTGGGGAGAGTAAAGTCTGTCTCCTGGTTTGCTGTGTTCTTTTTAAATTTTTAAATTACATTTTGTCTGCGTGCT